CTCACCCTGAGTATGTAATAGAAGGGAACAGAGCCCTGAAATTAAAGTCAACTGGCAAATAACTGCCAAATCTCCAGGAGTAAAGTAAATATTAACAAGGATGACAACTGAACCTAAGGAGATGTGAAATCTTCTTCCTTATGTCTAACTGAGATCTTCTGTTCTGAGAGGACGGGTGTAAATTGTACAGAAGGAGAAGAATTCTAACAGAGAAGAAAGAATAAATTGAGATTCACAGGCCCTTTTCAGAGCAGAGTGTTATGGAGTGTGTGTTGAGGGAGGGGTAGCATCAGGCAAAAGAATGAAAGATTGGGACAACTGCAAGGTGAGACCTTGGATATCCAGATAAAAGTATACCCAGCATTGAGCCTATTTGCTTTAAATGGTTGATGTAAAAATTTTAAGGAAAATAGAGAGCTTATTGGGGGTCATATAAAATCGGATGCTATACTGATCTGTTCATAAAAATGAATTCACAGTGCATCATGAAGAATTAAGGCTTTTTAAAGTGAGGCTCAAATAACAGTTCCTCAGTCTTTGCATGTGCAAAATTATGGGGAAACTTACACACAGCCCTTCTAAGGAAACGCAGTAGTTCTCAGAGAAATACAAAAACCATTCATCTTGTAAGTGAAACATTCTCTTAACTTAACATAAGATACATAGATGTTTTTGCTCACTAAAAAAAATAGCTCTTTATATACTACCATGCAAAGTAACAATGTTTTGCCTTTATTCTCCTCCAACTCTCAAACAGATTCCTGGGACCTAGTGGTGCTGAAAAAACTGTTACATTCCAGAGTCTTCTGCCTCTTAATGGTCACCCCTTAGCAATAAGATACATTAGATATTAAAATCTTTTCTTTAATTTGTATATTTTGTATACAAGTAAAATTCATAGGCAAGGTTTTCTCTGTATGATAATAAAAAATAATATGAGAATCTATCCAAATATTAGGATTAAAAATTAGGTATCAACCAAAAAAAAAGAATAATATTCTTCCATTAATAAGAAGCATCAGTAGAATATATTGGAAAGAACTCTAAAGTGGATTTATCTTGTTATTCTCATTCTGGCCTCTCAACATAAAAGCTTAGTAATTAACTTTCAATCTTTTAGTGTTCTAATAAATGTAATTTAAACATATAAATTTTCCTCTGAAATTGCTTACTTTGCAGTTTTAATGTTAGTGTTTTCATCATTTATGTCTATTAGTGCTATGCTCTATTTTAATTATTTTTTAACTACAGTCATTTAGGGAAATTTTTTATTTCCAAATGGATAATTTGGTTTTGTTTCTTTCCTTGTTCTCTTGGCAATTATTTTGCTTTAAATTTCCAATTCTGTTGAACTGTAGTCAAGAAATATGGCCTGCATGATGTACCATACTTTGGGGAATTTATTTAAATGGTCTCTATGATCTAAATGATGGTCTGTTTTGTACATATTATGGTGGGTGTTTGGGGAGGAAAGTATGTTGTCTGTTGGCTCTATATGTAAATTAATCCATCTGGCTAATTGTGTTATTGATACATTCTACATTTTTACTTTTCTGACCATTTGATGAGTTGATTTGTGATCACCAATTTAACCTTTAATTTCTATCAGCTTTTTTTTATGTAGTTTGAAGCTATATTGGTAAATCATAAAATGTTCAGGATTCATATCTTCTTAATGGAATGTATCTTTTAAAATATAAAAGTATTTCTTTGATCCTTTAAAGGACTTTTCTCTAAATTATACTGACACATATTGCTAAATCCATGTTTCATTTATAGCATTTTTCTGTCATATTTTTTCCTGACCTTATTTTCAGTCTTCCTGTATCGTGTTCTTGAATATGTCTTTTGAAAACATGTTTGTAGGCTACTGGACTTGTTCTTCTAATATTCTTTGTCTATTTTTCTATTGGGTTGTTTGGGGGTAGGTAGGGAGTGAGGGAGATAAATATATGAAAAGATGACCAACATCATCAGTCATTAGTTAAATGAAAATTAAAACAATGAAATCTCACTGCAAACCTGTCATAATGGCTAAAATATAAAATACTTACAACACCAAATGCAGACAAGGATGTGAAGCAACTAAAACTTTCTTACATTTCTGATTGGAATGCAAAATGGTAGAGAACTCCAGGAAAACAGTCTGGTGGTTTTTTAAAAAGTTAAACATATCATTTGACCCAGCAATCCCAAATAAATAAAACTTATGTTCACACAAAAACCTACAAATGTTTAGAGCAATAACAGTCATAATTTCCAAAGCTGAGAGGGGAAAAAAACCAAACATCTTTCAACAAAAGAATGAATAAACAAACTGTGGATTATCCATACAATAGAATACCACCCAGCAATTTTTTTTTTAAAAAGGAGGAAACCATTGATCTACACAACAATGTGAATCTCAAATGCATTATGCTAAATGAAAGAAGCTAGACTCAAAAGATTATATACTATATACTACTGTTTTATTTGACTTTCTGGATAAGGTAGAACTGTAGAAATATAGAGCAGTTGCCTGGCATGATGATTAACTTTATGTGTCAACTTAACTGGGTCATGGGGTGCCAAGATATTTGGATAAAGATTACTTGTAGGTTTGTCTATAAGGGTATTTCTGGATGAGACTCTCATTTTAATCTGTGGACTCAGTAAAACAGATTGTCCTCCCCAATATGGTGGGCATAATTCAGGGCCTGAACAGAACAGAACAGAACAAAACAGGAACAGAAATGGAGAATTCATTCCTTCTCTAGTTGACTGCCAAGCTGGGATGTTGGTCTTCTTCCGCACTTAGACTGGATTTCCACTGTCAGCTCCTATGGTTATCAGGCCCTCAGACTTAGGCTGAATTATATGTACTACACCTGCTTTCCGGAATGTCCAACTTGCTCATTGCAGATTGTGGGACTTTTCAGCCTCCATAATTGAGTGTGCTTTTAATTAATTAATTTGATTATCCCTTTAATTAATTAATCCTACTGGCTCTGTTTTTCTGGAGATCCCTAAGCAATAAAGATTTTGCTACCAAAAACAGGATGCTGCTGTACTAACAAATACGTAAAAATGTGGAAGTGGTTTTGGAAGTAGGGTAGAGGCTGGGAGACTTTAGGTGTGTGCCAGAAAAAGTCAATATTGCCATTAAGGAACTTTTAAAGATAATGATTCTGGTTAGGACTCAGAAAGAAAAACAATAAGCTAGAGAAAATATGGGTTGTGTCAAAGATGTTCAGCTGAACTTCTCAACAAATGTGCCAAACTTTCCTTGCTCTTCTCTATCAAATACCTAGAAAAGTATCTGATAGTTTAACAGATGTAGAGAGTGTCTAGCCACCTTCTATTATCTTCAATATTATATTCTTTCCAATTCTCCAAACACTTGAGAAAATTTTGCTTGTATTTTAGTTTGAGGGCCAATCAACAAAAACAGATTCATGATATACAAATGCCAGTATGTGAAAGCAAATAATGGACTTAAGAAGCAAATTCATCACACCTAATTCTTGACAAAGTGACTCTCCACATTACAAATTACGTGTTAAACAACGGACTTCTCTCTTGCTACCTTTCAATTGTTGCTCCTTGAAGCAGTATTTATAAGCACTTTTGTTTGCCTTACATCATTTCATAGTCCTTCCCCCTCCTGATTTCTTCTTTAAACATCTCCTTATGGATTTTTCCCAAACTTTACATTGAAACACTAAACATTCCCCTTTTTTGACTCCAAAATAAAATACGCAGGTATCTTTAACCCTGCAATACCTATCCTAGGAATCTCTCTACTGGCAATACTGTAGCAAACTTGTGTCCTACAGCGCTATTTGCCACTTTTAAAAAAGGAAATTACTGAATAGCAACCTTTGAGAGAATGATTTAATTATGGTATTATTTACTCAATGAAACACTATCCAGTCATTAAAAAGTAAGCTGTGTGTGTGTGTGTGTGTGTGTGTGTGTGTGTATAAGATTTTACATAAGAGAGAAAAACATTTGTAGTGCTTTGCACTTAAAGAGTTTTTCTATACCTAGAAAAATATCAGGAAGCATACACACTGTACTTTTAATGGTGGAGACATATTCGTGGGCTGTAGGATGGGCTGGGGCCATTCGATTTATATTTCTGTATTGATTTATTTTACCTCAAATCTGTATTAACGTCGAAATATTTTAAAATACTATTTTTTACCTGAACAACTTTAACAAAAACATACTCATCAGGTTAAACCTGAGCCTCTTCAGAGAAAACTATTGTCCCTCATATTACTGTTCTAGTGTATCACTTTTCACCATCACATAACCTGTGATTATTTTGTTACCCTTTTTTTACCCGCTCTCTTCCATACAAGGTAACACGACAGGGAACCCGTCTGCCTTGCATTGTCTCACATATAAAGTCTCCCAATAAACCATTCGTCTCCAGAAAGCACAGAAGGGGCGTGACAAATTTCAACACACGTGGAGTGACAGGTACATTATAATAGGACTGTATACTATGCTCACAGGAACAGGACAAAGTAACGGCTAATGAGAGAAGCAAACTGAGCAAAAAAATAGAAAGCTACCTTTCTCCCCCCCGAACTCAATTGCGCCTCGGATATACAGATTGGCAGGAGACGCTGGCGTACTTTTTTAGGCCCCGAATCATAGTTACGGGGGTGAAAGGTGGGGGGAGAGGAGGAGAACTGAAGTCACGTGATTCGTTATTGCCCACCTTTCCCTCCCGGCGCAAAAAGTTTAAAGTCAGATTGACGAGGCCGGAGGGAAATTTATCTGTTCGAAATAACTGTTTAGCGGTACCAGTAGAAATTCATTGTCTCTACGTCCGTTTCGCTTTTTACTTGAGTTCTAATTTCACTTTGCCCAAACAAAAGATGGCGGCGTAGGTGCTGGGTCCTACCATAGAGATGCAGACCTAGAGGAGCCCTGCGTGGCTCCCGGGGACTCCCCTCCTATCACCAGGCCCCGTAAGGGAAGTCCGGGGCGGGGCCGTCATCGGGAGTTCCTGCGTCTGCGTGAAGATGGTGGAGGAGGAGAGTCTCCGCGTGGTTCGTTGTGGCGGCAGCGAGTTAAATTTCAGGCGACCGGTGTTCTCTGCGGATTCTAAGTATGGAGCCACTGCACTTTGTGGGCTGAGGGGTGTGAGCGAGTCCCGGGGAGCGGGGTAAAGACCTGTCAGGTGTCCAGGCTCGCCGGTGGCAAACCTGGTCTCAAGGTAGGGGCGCGCGTGCGGGACTTGCTGCCTGTGTACTGAAAAGAGTGAGGAAGTCTATTGTCCCGTGTCACCGCAGGCTGGGGCGCGCTTCTCTCTCTCCTCCGACGTTTTACCTGCGCAAGTAGATTGAGGGGCTCACGGGGGCGGACCCGCGTGTCTAGAAGCGGCTCGGCGTTAGGCGATAAGAAAACGGCCCAGGCACGGAAGACAGGGACAGAACCGTGACTCGGAATTACAGAACTATTAAAGATTTTTCTTTCTCTACACTAAGCTGCCACCCCACCCCACCACCACCAAAAGACATTATGCCAGTCTTTTGGAGCTTTTCGTGAAAAGTAGTATTAAGAGTCTGCGGGGTAAAAGCATACGGAAGTCCTGGTCCTGACCTGGGTATAAAACCTAGTTTTCCATTGTTTGACTTTTGCAAGCTTCTTAATCTAAAAATATGGGTCATTCTTGCCTTTTTTCATTCCTAAATTATCAGTTCCTTACTCAAAATGTGTTTGCCTTGAAGGTCATTCTGGATATTGCTGTAATAATTTTTCTGAAAGTGTTGCTGTCGTAACATTACCCTAACCCTTATTTCTAGGCTTAGTTCAGAACCCTGTAGCAGTCTTCCATTGCCTTAATTATAGCTGTTCTATCTGGCTTTCAGGGCCAGTTAGCTCAGCTCAGCTCATCCATTTGTGTTTCTTGATATTACCCATTGTACACATGTTTCTCGTTTCATCTCTCTCTTGCAGGTATCATGTTAATTATTTCCCTGCTTTTCCTTACGTTGCTATTCATTTTCTTTCCCAGCCCTTGAATCACACATCCTTCAGGGCTTCATTTAAATCCACATTCTTGCTTAGGAACATCCCTAACTTTGTACTTCTCTATTTCTCATCAAAGATGATTGAGTCCAGTGTGACAGGCATTGTGATGGGTGCGTTGCACACATTGCTGTGTGCAAGATTAGATATTATCCTTATTTTACAAAAGCCTTTATTGAGTGTTCTGTGGGGGCTAAGCTTGCATTTGCATGTATTGTTTCATTTAATCCTCATAATAACACTGTGAGATAGTGTTATTTGCATTTTACAGTGGGTAAAAGTGAAGTAGGTTTAGAGAGGTTAAGTAAATTCTCCAATGTTACTCAGCCAGTACATGGTAAAGCTGTCATTCAAACCCATTTGTGTTTGACTTCTTAAAAACACACTTTTTGTACGCCACCATATATTTGTTATTTATAATAAGTGGGCACATAATTCCTCCCCTCAGGAATCTTACAGTCTGTTAGGGGAAGTCTTTCATAATGCCCTATGATAAATGCTGCAGTAGAGCTAAGCCCACCATCCCGTAGAAGCACACTGGGACTGGTGTTGATCTGGAATAAGAAGGTGAGGGAAGGATTGTAATGGAAGGACCCCTGAGCTGAATCCTAAAGGAGTAGTCAGAAGGAAAGAGTTTTGTATGTAGATGGCAGAATGTTCAAAGACGTGGAGAGTTTCTTTGGGGGCTTGCATTCAATAGTTAAAGCCATTATTCTGTGCTGAGGATCACAGAGAGGAAATTCCTTTCCTTTGGGGAATCGTATCAGAATAAACTACTGGGAGCTTTCTTGGCAAACGGTCTCCACTGCCATCTCCAGGAAACTGTCTAAAGGACCTTTTTGTTGACACTAATGGGATATGTCTTGGGAGGGGGAGAACGTTGTTGGAGTGTGAACCACCTGTCACACTGTTAAGTGAAAAAGTAGATCCAGTCAAACCACCAAAGGCCTTGTGAGTTTGGATCATATCCTGAAGGCAGTAAGTGATACGCTCAGATTTGCAAAATTCATCTGATACAAGTATATGAAAGATGAATTGAAGGGCCCACACCTGGAGACTATAGACGGTCCTTAAGAGAGGTCCAGGCTGCAGATGGTTAAGGTACTCAGTGAAATGAAGAGGAGGCTCCAGTCTGTGAGAAGACCAAGTACCCCGAATGTTTTGGTGCTCATACTTTCTCGATCTTATGAGACGGTTGCACACAACCACGTTGTGAATGACTCCTGGCTACAGCACTTAGAAGATGCAATCTGATTTCAGGGAGGTGAACACATGAAAAATCAAGTGTCTTAGAACTGATAAAACAGTAGTGACATGCTGGGGTCCAGCCTCGGTGGGTCTTGGAGTCCCCGAAGGAGAGACAGCTCAGCAAAGAAACAGAGAGAGACAGTAGGGTGAGATGCGGGAGGACAGCCTGACTTGTGAGTCTGGACTGACAGCCTTTAAGCTCAGAAACTTTATTTTTATAGGGATAAGACAAGGAACTGATACATGGCGTGATTACATCAAAGGTTATTACAAAAAAATAGCACAGCGTAGTACAGGGAAACTTAAATACAATCATTTTTAGTAAAAGTTACTTTGATTGGAAAAGAACCATTGTTTGCAGATATAATAGTACTAAGCAAAGATTATTCTGACCAGGAGAGCTATTCAGACATTCAAATAGAGAGCGAGAAGTGCAAAATACTACCTTTTACTAAATGTCTGTCAGTAATTTTCAAAAATTAACAAAGGTTAAGAAAAATTCAATAGCCAGAGTAGTTATTCTATAAAGGTTATTTTTAAGCCTTCAGTGGCTAGTTGTCTGGGGAGAGAGTTGACGTCTTGTCTGTATTGTTCAAGTGCAGCCCCTGTGTTGTGTGCAATCCTTAGAACCAACCAAGGTCATGGAGGGTCCAGAGCCCTAGTGGCCGTTCTGTGGAGGTTTAGCTTTAAGCCATACACACAGAGGAGGATTTCTGTGTATTTGTTCCCAAGTACTTAAATCATAATACCTAACTAACTTTCCTGGCCTTTTCACTCACATGTCTCCATTAATCCATGCTCCTGTCCAGGGTATTGGAGGGAATGTCCTACCAGGGGGAATTCTCAATAGAACTTTTCTCCACTTCTCTGGCAGCTGGTCTGCCCAATGTCTAACATTAACTTTCCTGACAGGGGAAGTGGGAAGCAACAGGATGTGTCTTGGGCTTTTGCTCTGCAATTAATAATTCTTTCTGGGCAGTATCAGGGGAATTGTGTGGGTTTTTAGCAGTAGGATACAAGTGCCAGAAAATCCCACGACCCACCATCAATAATCGCAGGCATGCAAGGAGGGACGACCGAGAGATCCAGCCCAGCCGTGGCTGCTTCTGCTGTGCAGTCGCACCTCATCGTTCCGACTGTGTCGAGGGTCGGCTGTTGGTCAGCTCCTGACAGTGACACCATTCAATGTTGGAATATTTACTTTTATATTATGGTATAATAATTGTTTATTGGTTCATTTTATCCAGTTAGTTAATAAAAACCTTTAAAGTTCAGGCAAGCTATGTTCAACAAACTGGATTGGATGTTGGGAATCAAAGATAAGTCATACCTCTGGCCTGTAAGATCTTGTGAGCAGGTAAGGGAGATATATCTATCTATATATATGTAAACAAGTAATTTCAGCACAATGTGAAAATACCAGGATCAAGTCATGCACAGGATACTTTGGGATCACAGGAGAGATCCAGCTTAGGGGTTCTGTGTACCTTCTACAGTGTATGGAAAAACACTGTGTCAGACATGTACAGTGTTAAATATAACTGGCACAAAGCAACAGTTAATAGATACTAGAAGATTTTCATTTCTGAGCTTTTTCCTATGGCTGTATCTTCTAGGAAAATAGTCAAACAAGTATTAACCCAAGTTTAATCACTCAGTAATTTAGTAGCCTCTGCTACGTGGAAGGAAGCCACAAATCCAGAAAGACAAAAGCAAAACCAGTATTTTCACAAGGACTGTCATAATGTCTTTGTACTTTGCTATAGACTAGATCTCACTGACTAGAGAGGACCTTTAACTTAGTGTCTGTAAGCTGGTGTCCCCGGTGAAAATTGGAAAGCTGGAGGACATGGGAACATGCTGTGTTAGCAGAACCACTAAAGAGTAAGAGCTGATAGGAAGTGAATGCATAACACAGTGTCCGCATCTATTAGTGCGCAGACAGCTTGGTTAAGTCAGCTGTTTTACTAGATGGTTCCATTAAGCCTCTGCCCACGGAACCCGTGGTAGGTAAAACTGTGTCTTCATTAATGTACTCTTCCTAGTTAATGACCTAATCAGTCTTAGATGTCCCCATAGACTGAAAAGAACACAAATTTAATGTACAGTTTTTAAACTGTTGCTTTGAAAGAAACCTTTGTTGCATGTTATATTTTTCATGGACAATAAGAGATTTTATTGTCTATAAATATGTGAAACTTACTTTTCTCTCTCATTTCCAGATATATCATCTGTGTCTCTGGAGACTTTATTAAAGTTTATAGCACAGCTACAGAAGAATGTGTACACATATTGCAAGGGCACAGAAATCTGGTGACGGGAATCCAGCTCAACCCCAACAACCATCTACAGGTGTTAAATGATTTCTAATTGCATATTTTAATATAGGCTTTATTGTTGCCACAAAAATTCGAATTGCGTTTGACCTGGAAACCTTCCAGGTAATGACCAGGGAAAGTCATCGATTTTCTGAATCAGGATATTTTTCACTTATTTTTAATTATTAAAATGGGGTCACAGCCCACAACCACATTTTCTGTGGAGTATTCTGTGAATCAGTTGTTACACAGAATGACAGTAGCTATTACTTGACTGAAGGGGTTTTTGGCTGTATGAGTTTCTGAAATTCTGGATTTGGCACATAGGTGAATTTTTTTATGGTAGGTCCTCTCAGTTCCTTTATATGCATTGTGAGTATCTAAAGGACATATAGTATTTGGTTTGCCTCAAACTTACTTGACATTTGAACTCTTCTTTCTGGAACTTTTTTTTTTCTTAACATTCACCAAGAGATACTGATTTTGTAAATCTGTTCCTTTAGAGATGAGACTTCCTAGGGTTAATGTGATGTCACCTATTCTTAAGGCGAGCATCTGGACAAAAAAAAGGGCTTCTTTCATCAGCGGATCAGCCAGTTAATTTTAGGACAAACTTGGCTCTCCCTTCTACTCCCTCCATGAATCAGCTCTTGCTTCTCAGAATTAAGAATAAGAAATGGACATTTTAATTCTGTCATAACTTCCAGCAAAGCTACTAAAGTGTTAGCTCAAAAATGCTTTACTCTTGCTCTAGTTTTTGATCAAGTTCCACTTTTCTGGATTAGTCATGGCCAAGTTGGAAGTTATTGCTTGATTAAAAAATGTATCTGCATTGTCATTCACTGCATTATCACAAGGGAAGTAGGACATAAAGTAAGGCTGATCTTTTCTTTCCAAAACTACATGAGCTACTCTTGAAAGTCAGTTAAGTAGCTTTTCTGCAGGGTTCAGGCACATTTTATCCTTTCTGTCCTCTAAGGGTTTGAGAGAACAGTTCATTGTTATGTACAACATTTGAATGGTTTTTTTTGTAGCCAAAATGTCCTTTCATTAAAATTGAAATTTGTGAAGTCTATATAACTAAGCTTTATAGCAAAATGAAAAACTATATACACATTGCATAAAAGATCTATTTCCTGGAACTGAAAGTTAATACAATTAGAGGAGGACAAGTTTAACAGCAGGTTTGGTGGGGGTGAGGCGGGGAGGGGGTGGGTGCCAGAGATTTTGTGGACTTTGGAGTCACAGTGTCTCTACTAACCATTGTTTTGACAGTGATTATATATTTGCCTTTTTATACTTTACTAATCCATGCTTAGGATTTTTAGGTTATATGTACTAATTGTGATTTGTGTTTTTAACTCAATATAAATCATTTACTTGTATAGATAGTATTTTATTTTTTATTTCTATAATTCCATGTCTTCCTTGGTAGAAATTTTAATAGCCACTTTATTTCCAAAAAAGCTAAAATTCACTATGAACATAAGTAGTGTTTTCACAGTAATAGTAACAACAACAACAACAAAAAATTGCAGTGTCCATTGGGACAAAAATAAAAATGTGTGTTACTAAGTCCTCCTGGTGCTTCCAAAGTATGGTTCACAGACCATTACCACAAATGGATGGTGGCCAGTCTGCAATGGGACAGGTATGGAAATTGAGTGTCCCAAAACTTGAGAGCATCCAAGTATATAATAGAAGTGCATAACTTCTATTGTAATTTACAAAAGTATTGGTCTTTGATGGGTTGGATTTTAAAAAAAGAGAACCAGACATTTTCAGCTCATTTGAGAAGTACTCCTTTAATACCCATGTAAGATGAAAGCAGTTCTGCTAATAAAAAAGGAAAATAACAACTCTTAGTGCTTTTTGTGTTAATACCCTACTGTCTCCCTTTTGAAGACAAGAGTATTGACTCCTCCCCCCTCATTTTAATCTTTAATTTCTTTCTTTAATTTACTCGTTTTTAGAAAAGAAAGAGGGGAAGAGAAACATCAGTTATGTACCCTGATCAGGGATGGACCCCTCAACCTTGGCATATTGGGACAATACTCTAACCAGCTGAGCTCCTGGGGGAGGGCTTTAATTAAAACTTTAAATTGATGGATCTGCTTCCTCCAAGGACCTGTGATAAGACTGTCACAAACAATAGAAATTTTGCAAAAACAATATAAGTAAATGACCCAGTCTCTCAAGGCAAATAATGAATTAATGAACAAAATGCCTTCTGTATCAACACAATTCATTTAATAATAAGTTCTATTTTTTAATCAGTTTTGTACAATTTTTACCCTTTTAGCTGTATTCTTGTTCCTTGGATGGCACAATTAAACTGTGGGACTATATAGATGGCATTTTGATAAAGGTACGTGGGTTAATCTTCCATTTTTATTATGTGAAAAAGAATGGCAGCGTGCTTTAGTGACAGACATGGTAACATAATTTAATTACAGGTACATTACTCCCTTCCATAAGGCCTAAGCCTTAGCCTAGAGATAGCATCCCTAAACAAATCCTGAAATTCACATACTGTAAAAGACAAATTTGGCTATATAAAAATTTTAAACTGGAAGAAACTGTTTACCAATAAACATGAAGAGATGCTTAACCTCATTAATAACTAAAGAAATGTAAATTAAAATAGATAACCAAGAATTTTTCCCTATTCAGCCAAATTGCAAATTTAAAAATCTGGTGATAGGTAAAGTCTAGAGAAACATACTTTTGAACACAGTAGAAGAAAATGAAACTGGAAATGAATATCCTTGTTCCAGCAATCTCATCTTTAGGAATTTCTTGATGAAATAATGTCAAATTGATGTAGTTCTTAAAGCATTGTTTATGGTATAAAAAAATTGATCATAACCTTGATATGAGTTAACATTTGGTATTTATTCAATAGAACACTATACAACCATTAAAAAGAAACAACTGGATCTATGTATATTAACTTAAAAGGTTATTTAACTTAACGAATATGTATTGACTATCTTCCATATGTCAGGTACTCTACTGATATTGGGGGTACACCAGTGAGCAAAATGGATAAAAACCCCTGCCCTTTACGGAACTTAAGTCTTGGGGCCGGGGAATGGGTAAGATGGACCGGACAGACAATTAACAATGCAGTGTTTTTTATCTTTCAGACTTTCATAGTTGGGCATAAACTTCATGCCTTCTTTACTCATGCCCATGCTGAGGATTCTGTCTTTGTTATAATAAAGAAAGAAAAACCAGGTATAGTATAATTAATTTATTGTTTCATGTGGCGTTGAGTGGCTCTTTACATTTCGCAGTTACTCGTCCTCCAGAATGCCACTGCGCCCACTTCATGGGCACGTTGTAGTCGGAACTAGAAGTGCAAAGCAGCTTTGCGACGGTTGCTGGGCAGTTGGCTAGACTGGCTCACAGCTCATTAGCTAAGTTAGTCCTTTCTGTGATTCTGTGGTTTTGGTTGTGGGGGGGGGGGGGATATCTGTTTTCTTTTTTGAGAGGGTGTCACTGGAGCAAATTTGCAAATTGTTATATGTCATGGGCTTTTTATCTATGAAAATTTCACATTAAGAAACAAAAAAATAGTAAGGTTAGTTTTTCTTATGTAGCCTTTAAAGCATCTCTAAAGGATATCCCAAAAAAATGTTCTGGAAATGGCAGCATTCTAAAATAATTAAGTTGCCTTCCCAAATGACTACTTTAAAGATAACACTCTTCAATATTTAGATTCCGTTTAGTATATAAATATATGCCTGTCCACATGCTTACTAAAAATTCAGGTTTCTAGTCTTCCCTGACCATTAATTGATGCACTAGGTCTGAGACATAGTCCAGGTGTCTGCATTTTTCGTGTCTCCCCGCGTCATTATGCTCACCCACTTACACGTGGTAACCACTCTTCATCCTCACCCCATGATTTCTCAATTGGAAGGATGGTTGCCAATAACAGAAAAAAAACTTTTTATCCTTATCAGTGACACCAGTGGTCCTTAGCACTGGTTGCATATTGGAATCACTTCAAGGAACCTAAAATGTAAGATTCCCTATGATGGGGCCTATTTCTTCACTTAAATATCCCCCCGTTGAGTCTGTGTGCAAGCCAGGATAGCAAGCTAATCACCTAAAGTAAAAGATCGTGGTCAATCGTGGTCATTAGCATTTCAAACTTAACTGGAAACTTTACTTGCTATAAACTGAATTCTGTTCATGGTGGGATTTAGTGTTACTCTCCCGTACTTTGGCACACCATGGCACTCAGCATATGAAAATCTAGTTAATCTGTTACATAAAAAGGTGAATGTGATTGGATTCTCAAAATATACAGTCGACCCTTGAACAATGTACATTTGAATTGCTCTGGTCCACTTAGGTGCAGATTTTTTCAGTAATTACTATAAATATATATTGTCTTGAGGCTTTCTTAACGTTTTCTCTAGCTTTATTATTAGAATATAGTATATAATACATATAACATAAATAATAAGTTACTCAGCTGTTTGGGTTATCAGTAAGGCTTCCTGTCAACATTAGGCAATTAAGATTTTGAAGAGTCAAAAGTTAATACATAGGTTTTTGACTAACTTCTCAGCGGAGGTCCTGGGAGGCGATTAAGCTGTGCAGCTATATTGGAGAAGCATATTCTGTAGCATTCCTGGCATGTTTGAGAAATACCAGGGAGGCTGGATTGGAGTGAGCCAAGGGAGAAGAGGTAATACAGAGCCTTGTTGGCCATTGGAAGGACTGGCTTTTACTCTGAATAGGTAAAAGCCATTGAAGCGTTTTGAGCAGAATGACATGATTTGACTTAGTTGTAATAAAATCACTGGCTTCTGTGTTGAGGATACTAAAGGAAGACAAAGGTAGAAGTAGAGAGAACTCATTTCTTCAAACACATAAAATATGAAACATGATCATGGCTTTAGATTAGGTAATAGTGGCAGAAGGGGTGAGATAGGATTGAATTCTGGATGTCTTTTGAAGATTGAGCCCAACAGCATTTAATGTGGGAAAGAGAAGTCAAAGATTTGGTTAGTCTGAGCAGCTGAGTAAACGGTGGTGCCGTTTCCTACAGTGGACACTGTGAGGAAGACTAATATTAGAAGGGAAAATCAAGAGTTCGGGGTTTGGGCACGTCAAGTTTGAAATGACTGAGAAGGCTAGAAGAATCAAGACTTCAGAGTGTATAAGAAGGCTGGAAAACAGGAAAATAATAGATCAGCGTGTTGCTGAATTTTATATTGATTATAAAGTCTGGGAGGATATAGCTCTTTCCCCTCAGGGAGAAATTTTTTGAATAGGATGTAGAGAGAAGTATATTAATATTGCAGAAAAGGAGGTTTATTCTGTGAATGTGTGGTAGGCCTATAGCATTTCTAAAAACTCAAATGGTTTGCTGCTTTTGGCCGTTAAGTTCACCGATCATATATTCCATCTCCATTTAAAAGTTCAGCTTAGTACTTTAGAATGTGGAATGTACCCGTAAAACAAATTTGTTTTCTATTTCTACATATATGGAGTGTGTGCGCATATGAGTTGTGGGTCTAGACTTTCATTTAAAACTTACATATTCAAATGAAGAGTGTACCTTCAAGCTACATTTTGTTCAAGGTGGCCTGAAATTACTATCTTGGCATCAAATGGATTCTAGAGTACTGGTTAACGGTTTCATATGAATGAATGCACATCTTCACTTTCTCTAGGGAAGCTTTGCATTAATACAGCTTCTTTTGGCTAGATGCATTTCAACTGGTTTCGGTGAAACTGCCCAAATCAGCAAGCCAAGAGATAGAAGCTGAGGAGCTCTCCTTTGTTTTGGATTACATAAACCAGTCACCGAAGTGCATTGCCTTTGGAAATGAGGTAAAATTTCTTTTGTTGGTTTTGGTTTTTGTACATAAAGCCACTTTCCTGAGGTCTTTCCTCTGAACATTTTTCATTACAGAGATTTAATGTTGCCTTGAGTTACAATATTTTTGTTGGTAACTGAAAGGTCTGTTTCATTGCTTTAGCATGTATTTATGGTAAAGATTTTTAGGACTATCCTAATTTTGTCTGGTTTATTTTATTGCTCTTATGAACTCTCTAAATGTCCAAAATACAATCAGTGTTTTTGACATTTGCATTGTACATCGTAGTGTGTCCCACATAAAAGCCACTTGAATCTTTTCATTTTAGATTATGTGACTTTAGAAAATATGACCTCCCTGACAACAATATGCCCGTTAGGGAAAATTTGGAAATTATAGGAAAATATAATGAAGAAATTAAATCTCACTGGTGATAATATATAACAAGTATTTTTCTAAACTTTTTCCTACCAGACATATAACTTTTCCCAAACTGAATTAGTATCTGTTCTTTTTTTAACTTAATATTGTGGCATGAGTGGTATTTAAATGTTCACCAGAAATAATGACTGTGCAATGTTCACACCATGATTTACTTAGCCATCACCTGTTAATAATCACTTTATTAAAATCAAGAACCACCAAAAGGCCCAATAATATTATTGTGGTGGCATATTTCTTTAGTCTTAAGTTTTATAGCATTATTTTGGCTTTGTTCTGAAAAGCGTTAATTTCTTAGAGAAAACTCTAACATTATAAAATGCAAATTAAAATCACAGTGAGATACCATTTCATATTCATTAGAATAGCTAAAATTAAAAGGCTGACAGAACTGAGTGTTGACAAGATATGGAGCAAAGTTAAACATACCTTTACAGTGACCCAGCAGTTCCACTCCTTGGTAGAGAAATGAGAGCATGACCACAAAATGACACGTATAAGAATGATTAATATTCATTACAGCTCCAAAATGGAAATAACCCAAATGTTCATTCAGAAAGAGAATATATACAATATATTCATTCATTGAAATGCTGCTGCATAATAAAAAGGAACTAATGATATACTAAGAGCGTGGGTGAATCTCAGAAAGGTGATGTTGAGTTAGAGAGTTTGGTCACAAAAAAGTATTTATTGTACCATTCTGTTGGTATGACGTTCTAGAACAGGCAGAGGAATGGTTATAGAAATCACTAGTAGCTGACAAAGGTGGGAGCATTGAGCAATAGCTGGAAAGAGGAACAGAGAACATTCCGAGGTGAAGAAAATGTTCTAAATCTTGCTTGTAGTGATGGTTTTATGGAATTGCATTTTATTGTGTGTAAATTATGTCTTAATGGAAAAAAAAATAAGCATCTGTTTTAGTTTTTATTGAATTTTTCAGGGTAACCTTGGTGAATGAAATTATATAGGTTTTAGGTGTACGGTTCTTTAATATATCATTTGCATATTGTGTGTTTGCCACCCCAGGTCCGGTCTCCTGCCCTCACCGTTTGTCCTCTTTATCCTCTCCTACCTCCTTCTACCCTCCAGTCTTTGTCTCTGAGGGGTTTTTTCTTTGCTTAATCCCTTCACCTTTTTCATTCAACTCTCAACCCCTCCCCCTGACAGGTGTCAGTCTGTTCTCTGTATTTATGAGTCTGTTTCTAGTTTCTTTATGTTGTTCATTATTTTTCACACATAAGTGAAATCATGGTACTTGTCTTTTATATATAAAGCTAGATAATCTAGTTTTAGGATTTAAGACCTAAGTCGTACTTTTAATTTTCTGTGATTATTTTTAAAGTAGGATTATTCTATCCATAGCTAAACTGTAATATAATGTTTTATATTAACATACTCTTAATCTGCAAAACCTTATTGTTATTATATTAACCTTTTTGACAGTATTTCCTCTTAAAGAGTGTTGACTGTTTTTGTGAATGTTACCTTTTTTGAAATACCAGGGAGAGTACGTTGCTGCAGTACGAGACTTTTACTTGTCTGTATATTTTTTCAAAAAGAAAAAAACCTCAAGGTAAGAATTCCCTTTTAAAAGCTTTATTTACTGGACAGTTTTTTTTATATCATTCTCATATCTTTAACCCAAAGCTGTCACAGATTTCATGTTACAAGTGATTGTGAAATCATAAGATATGAAGGTAGTTTTGTTTTTTGGGGTGTGTGTTTTTTAGGGTTTTTTTTGTTTTTTGGTTGGTTGGCTTTTTGTGGGGGGTTTTTTGTTTGGTTTTGGGGGCTGCTATCTAACATTTAAGAAATACCAACTACTTATTACACTACTATATTTTGTATTTAACTTTATGGGTTATGGTAGGGTTTGACACACATTTTTTATTTGATCTGTCACATGGCCCTGTAAAACAAATGTTACTGTTTGCCACATTTTTTTTAATTTTATTTTTCAATTACAGTTGACATATATTAGTGTTAGATGTTCAGTATAGTGGTTAACATTGTTATAACTTAGCAAATCTGGTACCCACTCCTAATAAATCTAGTACCCACCCAACACCATACGTAGTTACTACAGTGTTATTAACTATAGTCCCTGTGTTGTACTTCACATCCCTGTGATGGTTAAAACTACCAGTGTTTATACTTCCTAACCCCTTTAGCTTTTCACCCAGCCTTCTAACCCACCCACCCACCTGGCAGCCATCAGTTTGTTTCTGTATATGAGTTTTTGTTTTGTTCATTTATATTGTTTTTTAGATTCCAGTTTTTAACCCACAGTGGATAGGGTTGAGGGATCATCAGTCACAAAAACCTGGGGGGCTTTCCTAGCCAAAAACCCTCATATACCAAGATTCTGATGTGCCTATTTCTGCCATAATTGGATTTGGTTTGAAAAGGGTTCCAGAGATAATCCTCATTGCCATATCATAGATAGAGTGAATAGAGGCTTTGGAATATCTGGGTTTAAAGTGGGTCACAATTATCCATGTGAATTTCATTGTACCTCAAGTTAACATATTTTAAGTAGCGATAATATCGTTAATAGAGTTGTAAAGATGAGTGATATAACATTTAGAGAGAGTAGTGCTAAGCATGAGTAGTCATTCTTCAAATGACACTGTACCTTCTTCCCTTTTACCATGTCAGTGTTGGCATTTATTTTTCCTTGCAGTGTAATGAGGGTCCTGACATCTTTAGACATACTAGCCAGTTGTCTCAGGTATAATTTTTTAGGCCTGCGCATATCTGATGCTAAAACTTATCTTCAGCAAGAAATTTGAACAAACTTTGTCCAAGCCACTGAACAGGACTGTCGTCTTTATTTCAGTGTCAGCGGCGTCTGTAAACAAGTTATGATAATAGAATATTAGTCACAAAAAATATACATTGTATATTAATAAATGTTTACAAAACAAAATTCTTAATTCTTGATCACAATTTTTTAAATTCTGTATTCATATTCAATGAATTCTGAGAGCTCTCCCTTTTTCATTGATAAGGGTAAGAAATTCCTTACCTACATCACCACTTACCAGGAGATTTTAATAATCAAGAAAATTTAATTTTCTTTCAGGTTTACTTTGTCATCATCAAAAAATAGGAAACACTCAAAGAACAATTTTACATGTGTAGCATGTCATCCAAGGGAAGATTGCATAGCAACTGGTCACGAGGATGGCAAAATTCGTCTTTGGTCAGTTAACTCATGGGCAGCATGGTGATGGTTTCTGTACGGTGTTATATTAGTTCTGCAGAACAGGCCACTGTTTCTGGGTCCAGGAAGAAGGATAGCACTGAAAAGCCACTCTTGGCAACTGACATCCTCCCTTTCTTGTGTTACTGTGTTCTTCATTACTTGGGCTTAGTATTTTAGGAGTAGTGAAAATTTCTATTCCGCCTATAGTCTTTTTATTGAAGAGAACTTTTTTTGTCAGCATTTAGGTAAAAAGGAAAGAGTGACAATAGGGAATATCTATGTAATAGGACACAAAGGTGGCCTGCTGTTGATATCCGGTTGTCCAAAAGGGTTTTTTGGTTTTTCCCATAAAGTGGCTCTAGTAGCACTTAGTTGCTTTTAACTTCATTTGAAACAATTTTGTAAGATTGTGTTGTGACAGCTGTCATATCAGCCTGCATTTAAAAAAACATCAAAATTGGTGAATTTTTGTGTAGCTATTAAAATATCGAAGGAAGAAACTATGCAACATTGTCAGCATATTATGCTTTATTATTTTAAGAAAGTTAAAATGCAATTGAAACACAAAAAAAATTTTGTGCAGTGTATGGAGAAGGTGCTATGGCTGATCAGATGTGTCAAAAGTGGTTTGCAAAGTTTTGTGCTGGAGATTTCTCACTGGACGGTGCTCCCTGGACAGGTACACCAGTTTTAATCAATAGTGATCAAATCAAGATAATGAGAATAGTTAGCATTATACTACACAGGAGATAGCCAACATACTCAAAATATCCAAATTAATAAAGTTGGTGAAAATGAAAATTGTGTATTATAGAAAAAACTAAACAGACTTTTTGGCCAACCCAATAGAAGTGAATCCAGTTAGAAATAGATAATGTACTCTTTGGACATTAAGGCTCATAAACTTGATATTACAATTTATTTTTTTAAGCATATGTGATGGGGGACCCAAAAAGTTGGAATTTATTTACAAAAAGTTGCATAATCTTACATGTTAAAACTTTAGTCACCTTTAAATACTCACCATTTGATGCAATATACCTATTGAAATGTTTTTCCACTGCTCAAAACAGTTTTTTTTAACTTGTCGATTTTGATGCCTTTTAGTGCTTTTGTCATTCTTTTTTTCACCTTCCACATCAAAATGTTTCCCTTTGAGGCCAGGGAAACAAAAAAAAAGTCACTCGGGGTGAGATCAGGTGAATAGAGAAGATTGGCACAGGGGTCATGCTGTTTTTAATAGGTCAAAAACTGCTGAACACTCAGCACAGTTTGGGCAGGTGCAGTTGTAAATCATAAATCACTCATCATGAAATGGGCAAACATATTGAAAGAATCCTCAAAAAAAATTCACTGAAGCAGAACGCAGCCTCTCACAACAGCGCCAGCTGGTACACTGATACAGATGGGTTCCTAGGACACTGACCTTGCAGGGAAATCCTGTACTACAAAGGGCCCACCCTCCAGAAGATAATCCCAGTTCTTAGGCGGAGGGTCCCCCATCATACTGTGTTCATTATATTTGGCGTGCCATCATTCTTCTAACTTCTGCCTTTGATGAAATTAAAAATTTTTGTTTTCTCCAATAGGAGAAATTTTGATGATGATAAGAAATACACATACACCTGTCTACATTGGCACCATGATATGGTTATGGATTTAGCTTTTTCAGTGACAGGTAAGTAAGTTTAATTGTTAAAATGAACTTTAGAAGCATGTGAATCAAGTATCTTAGTTTATTTATAATTTGAAATATCTAAAATTACATGGGCCAAATGAATTGTAAATACCTGTATATTCACTCCTGTGTTTTGGGAATTGCTCAACACAATACCATATACTTTTAACTTTCAAAGCCCTTCGTAGTATCAAAGTGTGCAACTGTGACAAAGTCTCATCTAGACCCTATGAAACAGATTTATTATCAGTCTCATTTCACAGATAAAAGAAGTGAAATTTATAGCTGAGAACTCACTTGCCTAAGGTCACATGGCTAGTAAGTTGGATTTGGACATAGGTCTAATTCAAAGGCTTGTTTTAACTGTTAGATTGCCTCGTTCACATTCACTATTTTAAATTCAGACCTTTGTTCTGTTTAAGCTTCACAAGAGAATAGTAAAAATACCTCCTTGAAAATAGGATGAAATTCAACAGAAATTTGGAGAAGCACATTTGTGTCTTTGGTTACTTTCAGGATCCTAACACCCATGTGAAAGTTAAGACAGCATTTTTTGACTGGTCCTCTAAAAAGAGAACTGTAATAGAACAATAAAAATAAATTAATAAAAAGAGAGCTGGATGCTAGAGTAGATGATGTGCCTGAAGAGAGTGGTTTTTCTGTCTATGGGTCTTCCTAGAGAATGCCAGGACAAAGTCCTCTCCATGGACCCTGGGGCCTTACAGGGGACTTGGGTTCAACTCTGGAGTATCAGGAAGTAGGGAGGTCTCCTTAGCCTACCTGTGCTTCTGGTTTGGGGAGCAGTGACTGGTTTGGAGGCAGGATCAGTAGTACGGCTCTGATGTGTGAGGACTTAGAATAAAAAGGGAATGAAAAGGATCTTAACCCTACAAATAAAAGATACAGGCTACTCTTATCTTCCCCATCCTCCTCATGCCATCCCCCACCCCCAACAAAATACGTATGAGTGTGTGTGGGAAGGCATACATGCGTCACCCTTACCCATCTCCTGTCATTCTAGTTAGCAGTCACAGCTTTCTGTGGTGGCCTTAGGTACCCTTGAGTCCTGAGACATTCAGGACTGGCCTTTTCAGGTGGGTTAGAGAAAAAGACAAATAGTTAAGATTATTTGACACTTAAAGAAAAAGAAAGAATACAGAATGCTTCTACCCTAAGCCAAGACTTTGGTACAGGAGGTACTGCAGGTAATCTTGGCTATTAGATGGTTGAATTCTTGCGTTTATAAAATTTAAGATGTGTGAGTATTTATAAATGAGAAGTAGTGGTTACATATGGTACCCTGGTTGTCAGTGAGATGTCAGTATTGACCCCTGTATAGGTAAGAGAGTTAATACAAGAAGAAGGAAATCAGCTGTCTGTGTAAAAAGAATTATAAATTATGGTTGTTTTTAGAACCTTTATAAGTTAGGGGAAATAGGAACAGTATAAACTGTTTTGATTATGCTTTGAACCGAGTCATGATGTGTGTGAACACCTAAGTAATTGTTACTTTTTACTAATCCTTAAGCCTTTCTTAGGGCCTCCAGATAATGCTGACTAAAAGTGGTAATAGTGTTCCCAATCACTGGGGAAAAGTTTTCAATATTTTTTCTCTTAAGAGATATTTACTGTAGATTTTCTCTAGGTATCTTTAATGAAAATACAAAAGTCCCATCAGTTCCTAGATTGCTGAGTGTCTTTATTACAAGTGTAGAATTCTGTCATTTAGTACCTCTCTGCACCTATTAAGATGATCATGATTTTCCTCTTCATTCTATAGACGGAGTTAATTACATTGATTTAGTTTTCAGATGTTAAAAACAATTTCACATTCCTCTGCAAAGATGCCTTATTCCTTTAATATATAATTGGATTCAGCTTACTAATCGTGTTGTTTGGAAATTTTCATCTGTCATAAAATTGACTTGGAACTGTTTTATGATACACCTGTTTTGGTAAAGGATTATCCTGGTCTTGTGAAATAAATTGGGAAGTGTTCTCTTTTTGTTACCTAGAAGAGTGAAAGTTGGTTTATTTCTTCCTTAAATATTTGGGAAAACCAGCAAAACCATCCGAGCCTAGAGGATATTTGTTTCATTCAGTTTTCCTTGTTATCGGAGGAAGAGTTGATTACCAGCAAATTAATTAGCACTTACTGGAAAGGAAAACCCCTAAATCAATGATCTTTAAATCTTTTGTTTGAAGAGTAGATTAAAAGATACGAACATACTTCTTTGCATATTTTTAAAAATAGTTCATTTCTCTAACATGGTCAGAAAATCTTTTATGCTGATTATTTTTTCTTTGTTTTGTTTGTTTGTTTCCCTCCTGAAATACTGTCCTCTCATTTCTGCGACTGGATGGGTAGGCACCAGTCTGCTGAGTGGCGGCCGTGAGTCTGTGCTTGTGGAGTGGCGCGACGCAGCTGAGAAGAACAAGGAGTTCCTCCCCCGTTTAGGAGCCACTATCGAGCATATTTCAGTCTCACCAGCAGGCGATTTACTCTGTACCTCTCACTCTGATAATAGTAAGTCTGGATTTGTTACTGTGAGGAAATACAATTTGTGTAATGCCTCAGTTACTTAGCACCTGTAAGAAATGGAAAATATGAGACCTCAAACTAAAAGTAACCTCAGGTTTAATGGGCATTTTTTCTTCTATTCTTCCTCTTCGTATCCTTCCTATCCTTCCTATTCTTCCTGTTGTGTCCCTTTCTGCCCCAAGATGCCACCAGAATCCAGTGTTTTCAAAATTGTGTTATGAAAATGTAGGGCTAAATGTATTTGATTTTTGTTGTGCCACTTATATTTAATGTGGAATGATGTGGAAAAATAAGGGAAGGATTTTGAAGTAGGCATTTGTGCTTTCATAGATACAGTGGTATTTTCAAAAGAACACTACGGTTCCCTTGAGATAGCCCTTATATCAGTGTGGGAGTTCCGTAGATTGACAGAAATGGAGACAGTTCTACAAGTTCCTCCAAAACCTTTGCTCGTCCTGTTACTATGTAGCCTGGATGTAGATCCCCTAGCCTATTGCCTCCTTTCCCTTCAAAACAGAAAGTAACTGTGAGCAATCCATTAGTGCAGTGACTCATTTCAAAGTAAATTATCAGTCTCTTTCAGGATATTTAAGTTTCTGAATTAACACCTAAAATGTATTCATAAGCACAACAGATGAAACTGAGAGTCTAACAGAGAAGCTCCCTACCAGTCAAATCACAAAATATATTCCTGACTTTCTGGTAACACTCTAAACTGAACATACTCAGTATTTTTGTATTCTGATATATTGCAGAATAACAAATTAATTAATTTTGTCTAACTTGAAGTTCTGACCTATGTATGTTTAAATATTTTTTTACCCACAGAGATAATAGTCATTCACCGAAACCTTGAGGCCTCCGCAGTAATTCAAGGCCTAGTGAAAGGTATTGGAGAACACAACAGATTTGAAATTGTTGACATTTTAAAAATGAATGTTTGTCTGATTTTAACTGTTGTTTGTCACTTTTTTTGCAGACAGCAGTATCTTGACTGGTTTGATGATTGATCCAAGAACTAAAGCTTTAGTTTTGAATGGAAAGCCTGGCCACTTGCAGTTTTATTCTCTCCAGAGTGATAAGCAATTATACAATGTAAGATTTGGATCCATTAACTAGCCTTAAAACCAATGCAAACTCTTCACAGCACCACCGAGGTCTGTTACTTATTTAAGAGCTGCTAAAACAAGGTCCTGTGCCTATGTTTACTTCAGCAAAGTCAGTACAATCAGTTGTTTACAACATAATTCTAATAGCCACAGTGGCCAACAAAGTCTACGTGTAAGCTAGTTGATAATCTTGTGCAGCCTCTCTTTGTCTATTTTTATTGTGTTTCAGGCCACACTCTGTCACACATATCTGCACCTTTGAGTCACAAGGATAGGAAGAGGAGAGTGTGTCGCTTGACAATGCAAATATGCTTCTCCTTTGTGGGGAAACAGCATCCTATGGGCATACTGAGGATAAAATTTTCAGTGTGAAGAGGATAGCTTCCTGTAATCCTGATAAATTGCAACCCAGACTTCCTTTTCTTCCTCACTACCCTTTACAGATTCCTGTCATAGCTGTAACACTTTGTCTCCTTCTCTTCATCACCTTTAAACTTCTCAGAGAAAGGAAACTTATTGATCTTTGTACATTTCTACTACAATGCCTGGAAATGGTAGGCATTTAATACATGTTTAGTAAATAGGCAAGAAGATGGAATAAAAGAAACATCCATAAATAAAATGCTGGCCTACTAACAATTCTATCTTTTTTTCACTTCTTAGAAATTATTGATTTTATTTTTGCTTATGTTTCCAGTGGTGTGACATCTAGCCTTGAAATTTTATATAAAGCTATCTGTTCTTAGAAACCAGTGAAAACTATTATTGTAAGCTAATCATCCTATTGTATCGTATAAATGGGTCAGTCATCAGTAGTATTTGAGGACATTGAAGAATTATTAAATTAGTACTGTATAATACACTCCATTTTTATTGGCAAATATGATGTCCATAACTAACGATGTTTATTTTTCCCTTTGCCTAAAATTATCATAGATTTTAGAAGTTATATATCATGTGGTTAATTACCATTTATTGAATGCTTTAACATTTATGTATTTACATTAATAAGCATTTTGGATTTTTTTTAACCCATCAGTTAGATATTGTGCAGCAAGAATACATCAATGATTATGGTCTGATCCAAATTGAGCTAACAAAGGCTGCATTTGGCTGCTATGGTAACTGGCTTGCAACAGTGGAACAACGTCAAGAAAAGGAAACTGAGCTTGAATTGCAAATGAAACTGTGGACTTATAATAAGAAAACACAAGGGTAATGCTACTTATATAGCCAGTTTCAAAATAGAAAATATTTTGCCTTCTATCTTTTGGTCTCAGATCTTAGTCTTTAAGATGTTTTATTATAAGTTTTAGATTTAGATTAAGGAGGTGTTCTAAAGCCTTTAAGCTTTCGGCTCTGAGAGAGCACAGGTGTCCTCCAAGCTCTAACGTCATCTCATTGCATAAATGAGAAAACAGGGGAAAGTGAGACCCCCCAAAGACACAATACCTGACTCCAGGCAAATCTAGGAGGAGAATCTGAATGTCTTAGTTCTTAACATTATGCTATTAAAAAAAAAAACCACCTTCTTTGGAAAACTGGCAGTGGTAGACGAGAGAGGTGTAGTGCAGTATGCATGTTTTGATTAGATAAGGAGCCCACCAGTTTCTCATTCCATGGCTGTAATAGCCATTTGCCAAGTCCTTGGTTTGCCAAGAACTAGGTTTCAGGCTTTTGTGCCCACTGTCTTACTACTAATCTTCACAAGAACACTGTAAGGTAAGCTTGTTGTCCATGTTTCACAGGTGAGGAAACAGGCTCAGAGAGAGTAAGTGATTGTCTCTGGTCACCTCTCTTATAATCTGAACTTTTAAAAACCACCACACTATTTTGCCCTCATGTTCTTCAGAGAACACAGTGCGAGCATAGTTTATCTTTCATTCACAGTCGTGCCCAGAAACAAGCTTTGAGAGATAGTTTGTGTGATTACAAATATTAAATATTGACCAGGAAGTTTGATTAGGTAGTTTGCTTTCTGTATTTTCTTGCCACAAATAGGGTCTTTTATAGTCATTCCATGCTTGGCTTATTTTCAAAAGTAGCTGGTGAGGCACCTGTGTTGTGTACAGTTAGCCTGTAGAGTTTAGTACAGTAGGCGTTTATGATTTTTTTGATGACCCCTATTTTATACTCATTTTGTACCATTAAGTTGACAGTATACATAATCATCTCTATATTCTGTAAGTTACACAAGGGCAGAGATAATGTGTTAGGATTGCCGTCTACATGTAGCCATTAGAGACAGAGCACTCAATTTTTAGTCATTCTATGTGATACTGTATCTGTTGTTACTTCCTAAAGATGCTATTTTAAAAGGTACAGTATGCAAGAAATTCTTACATGACAATGTATGGTGTTGCCCTGGTGTAAGAATAAATTGGTGGTTTCCTTCCTACTAGGTTTGTTCTTAATACAAAGATTAACATGCCACATGAGGACCACATCACAGCTCTCTGTTTCCGTAATGCAGAAAAATCTGAAAACCCCACCTTGGTTACTGCTAGTAAAGATGGTCACTTCAAAGTGTGGATATTAACAGATGATTCTGATATATACAGTAAGTTAAATATAGTATGCCAAAAGAGCACACAATTTTACAAAATGATATATTTCTCTCCCATGAATTGTATTTATTCTGGGAGGACATTTTCTACCTTAATTCTGTAGGATATTGCCTAATTTTAAAGGATGTAAGTTACTCTTATTACATGCCTTTTCTCCAAATCTGTACTCTTTTTAAATGACATAGTTAATCACTTGCTGATTCTATTCCTGTTTGGGAGGATACAGTAAAAGGGGCTTTTGCATTTAGTTTTTCACTGTTCCGCTAGAGGGAGGTCAAGGTCTCCAGGAAGCGGTGTAACTTCCAAATCAGTCAATGCTTTGTAGCACTTCCAACTAAAGTTTTGGGAAACAGGGTTTCTGTTGTGTTTGTTTCTTTCTTCTTACTGCTTATAACTTCCCTAAATTGTTATCTAGCATTTATACCATTTCTGAACTCTATGGTCTGTATTTCCACAGAAAAAGCTGTTGGCTGGACCTGTGACTTTGTGGGTAGTTATCACAAATACCAAGCAACTAACTGCTGTTTCTCTGAAGATGGCTCTTTACTGGCAGTTAGTTTTGAGGAAATTGTTACAATATGGGATTCAGAGACATGGGAGCTTAAATGTACATTTTGTCAACGAGCTGGGAATATAAGGTAGGTCAATAATTTGGGGAAATACGAAGTACAATTTTTAATTTAAACAAGTCTTTCTACATAAACTTCAGTAATAGTTTATACTTTCTCTAAAGGTAGCCTCAGGTCATTCGGGCCAGCATTTAACCAGCATGTGGAAAGCTAAAAATTTTTTGCATACAAACCATGTGCAATCATTTATCTATTTCTGAAATCAGGATTAACATTTAATTCCTAGCCTACAGATTTCTTTTCTTTGTAATAATACTTTTCATGGTTATGCTACATAATAATAGAAGCTATACTTAAGCCTCAGTGGATCCAAACAATGTGTATCTTAAAAATATCTTCCATTTCACTTCATGTGACAGCACTCGAGGACAGAATGGCAGATGGCTAATGAAATTGTTCCTAATTTCCAACATGGCTGGTTCTGAATTTACTTTGTAAAACTTCCTTCGGAATTCATATTGCAAACTGTCCTCTTTAGGTAAATGAGCATAAAAAGGGGGTTTTTGTTAAATGGCTGTACATTTTGTATACACTTTCTCTATGTCTTTATTATTATACCACACAGCTTATTAGAGAAAAGAGCTAGTCATCAAACCTGTTTTTCTAAAAAAATGTGTATATATCTAAATAAGCCCTTTTTTTGTACTACTTATCCCTTTTTCTGCAAGATAATTATGGGCAAAAACATATGTGCCTATATAAAAATCAGCTTTGCTTGAAATCAGTGCTGTGCAGGAAGTCTGATAGAGCTGGCCTGTTAACTTACCTGTGGTTTTCATCTAGGCATCTCTGCTTTGGGAGACTGACTTGCTCAAAGTACCTTCTTGGTGCTACTGAAAATGGAATTCTTTGCTGTTGGAACCTGCTCAGTTGTGCATGTGAGATATTTTTTACCATAAAGTGCTTTTGCAAAACAAGTAGAAATTGCAGTTAAACTTAGGCATTTTAGGACTTCTGGATTGTATCTTCATGTCTCTATCCAGAGAATATGTAATTATTTAAGTGGTATACCACTAAAATTTGGAGTTCTGTGCCTGTATACTAATAAAATTCGGAGTACTAGGCCTATAAAAAAATACTTATAAATGGTCTTATTGTCAGGAAATAGCAATCATTATCCTCACCTTTTTCGAGTGTCTTCATTGTGTAGGACTCTGCTGCCCTCCATGTTCTCCATCCTCCTAACAGTCTGAGGATCGTTTCTGCTAATTCATAATGCACATTAACCTGCAGTATCCCCGACCGCTTTAAATTTAAATAGAACCCAGCACAACCTTCCTAACAGATGTGGACTAAGTGGCATTTTACTCATTCGAATACATGTTTGGAAGGCATAGTGGTTGCTTAGTAATGAATGTGTGTGATGACACTTCTTTATATCTTTACAGTGACTACTGCTTACACTTTGCCCATGTTTAGTAGCAGCAGAAAAGGACCTGACAGTTGCACGAAATGATAAACATTTCTTAGTGTGTAAAAGGAATAATTTGTTCTTCTGCTTCCTGCCATCTCTTTAGTGCAGCCTTCCATAGATAATTTCAGTGTGTCTGTATGTGTGTTTGGATGTGTAAAATCCCTCTTTGTAAGGACAATAGAATTGATCCGATGAAAATTAAGATTACCTACTTTAAATAATAAGCTTTGAAAAGTTTTTGGTAAATCTCTTAGAAGTGAATTGCTTTTCCTTTTTTCCCCAGTGGAGTGGAGTGCAAAATTAAATATTAGAGTTATGGAACCTGATCCTAATTCAGAAAATGTTGCTGCAGTCTCTAAGTCTTCAGTGGGTTCAGACTGTAAGTACAGATCATACTTGGATAGTAAGAGACCTATCACCTAAATTTTCTTTTTAACATCTATTATATAATTATAGTCAAACTTACCTTCAAATCAGATGTTTAAAGCTATTTTGCCTGAGGCACTGCCCTTTTTTCTTGAGTTCTTATTCCAGCACCTTGTTATTTAGGCATTCGTGCTGAGTGTTCTAGGAGAGTTTCAGTACATTCCTCATTTTTCAACATGCCAATTCCTACTTAGCCATCACAATCCAAGAGATTTCTTTGAAGTATTCCAGATGTCTCTGTAAAGCTTCAGTCATTCCTCCTCTTTGCCCATGTTTAGTAGCAGCAGAAAGTTCTTGAAGCACTTTCTACATACTTCTGTTCTAGTACTTAAGACAAAATATTGCATTGATATTTTGGTGTCTTGTCTTCTGCATTATGCTCTGGTCTCTAAAGCCAGGATTCCTTTCTCTTTTATCTTCATGGCCCTTGTTCCTAACCTGCTTGGCACATAGTAGGTGCCCAGTAGATACTTGTTGAATGAAAGCTTAAAATAATCGTGACCTGGATTATTTACTCAATGGGATAAAACCAGGATTAGTGTGGTTTGCCAATCTGAGGCTAGAACTAACCTTTTGCATGCAAAATGTTATTGTCTGTTTGTTTTTTTCCTGTAGTGTTTGTATTTAAGCCTAGTGAGCCAAGGCCTTTGTATATTCAAAAGAATATCTGTAGAGAGGAAGTCCAGTGGGGAGTGTTTGTTCCACGAGATATCCCTGAATCATTCACCTCAGAAGCTTACCAGTGGCTGAACAGGTCGCAGTTTTATTTCCTAACAAAATCACAGGTAACCATCCTTCCTCAGATAAGGCGTTCATTTTGTATTGTATATATAACTGTCAGTTGCTTTCTATTTGAAAGTAATAGTCAGCCCATGATAGGTGTATAGTTTTGTTGAAGGGTTTCTTCTCAAAAGAAATTGTCTAACATGTTCAGTGCCAGAAGCATTACTAGTGTGTGTGTATGAGCAGCACTTTAATACCCACACCTTTGAAGCTCTTTAAGTAGATGTTTATATATCAAAACAAAAGATTGACTTCATTTTCTAACTTTAACATCTTAGATTTGCACTGTACTGTTTAACTTTTGCATCATTAATTGATCTCTCTTTTCAGAGTTTATTGACATTCAGCACAAAGTCTCCAGAAGAAAAACTCACACCAACAAGCAAACAGGTATGTTTTAGCCGCTCATGATACAGACTTGTGTTGCTTCCCTACAAAGATAAGGTTATCTTTTAGAACTCAGCCGTTAGAAAAAATATTTTACCTGGCCCAAAAATGGAATTAAAAATCATACTTATAAACTAAATGCCTCTCTTGAAGTTACATTATTCTTGTAAAATACAGTTCTGGTTTGTAACATTAGTATTACATGCTTGTGATTTAAAGAATCAAGTAGTTCCACAACACTGTGCAGGAAAAACCTCTCAGCATCACTGCCATTACCCACATTAGCTCCATATCTCTGAGAAACAAGTTTATATAGCTGAGTCAGATGTAGGTATTTTCTGTGGACTCTGATGTATTGAAGTTGAAGTTACAGCTCTTTTTCACATGACCACTCCCGACACATACACAGTGCACACACGCACACCCTTCCTTTCTCCCGGTTCCCCAATAAAGGTGAGTCTTAAAATGGGTCAGGTCAGTATATTCATCATTTTAACCAAGTAAACACCACTGATAGGCGAGCTATGTAGTAATGGATTGTGTTTTCCTTTGTGACCCATTTTTTTCCTCTGGAGTTTATCATTTTTCCTTTATTTGCTTAGTTTTCTATTTTCCCCTCATTTGTCCCAAACTGTTCTAGTTGTACAAATCTTCTCAGTGTTTTCAGACACATTAGGTACTCTTTTAAGTCTTGAAGAAATGTCTTTAAGAGTCTTCTGACCTGCTTCAACCTGGACTGATTGCTCTATAAGCCTGATGGACAGTAGTCATCTGAGGTCTGCATTCATCCTCGTTCAGGAGCTTTTGTGTCACCTCTACTGTAATAGAACCCGTGGCTTTCCTCTTTCTTCGGTCACTCCCTCCCTTTGGTGAAGCACATTTTCTTGGGGCATGGGAGGTAAATTTAAGATCTTCCATGTTTGGAAATGTTTTTATTTTCTCCCACCTGAGTGATTGGTTGAGTATAGAGTTCTAGGTTAAAAACCATTTTCTCTTAGAAATTTAAAGGTGTTTCCCTCTTATGGTAAAGTTTACCCTGTTACCAGAAACCCAGTACCATTCTTATTCTTGATCCTTTACTCATTGAATTCATTCAGCATCTTTCTGTTGATCATCCACTATGCTGGATGTTAGGATACTTCAGTGAGCAAGCCTGTAAACCTGTGGTATTTACAGTTTAACAGAAGGTACAGACAATAATTACAATAAATAACAAGGATAAAATAAGTTAATATGTAGTATTTTAAGTGATAAGAATTACGAGGGGAGAAATAAGAGTAAAGGGACAAATGGGGTGCTGCTTGCCATTTAAATGGGGTGGTAAAAATCATTCTTAACAAAAAGTTTAGCTTTTCTTCAGGAAATGTGGAGCCTCTTGAAGGGTTTTAATCAGAGAACTAAGGAAAAATTAATTACTACTCTGCCATCATTTTCTCAGTTCTTTTTTCCAGAATCCTATTATTTAGTAAATCCTATTATTTCTAGAACCCTTCTAAACTGGGTGCTCAAATAGTCTTTTGTTTTCTGGGAGATGTTCTCATTTTTATAATCTAATGTATTTTTTTTTTCTCTTACATGGTCCATTCCCTCAGGTGTTTGTTCCCATCTCCCCCTACCACCCCCCCGCCCCCCAGTATCTATTTTGGACTGTTTTGGGAGGTTGCATCAGAATCTCATGAGCCTTAGCTGCCTGCTCTTACGTAAAAATGAGCATGAGTGAAACAGACCTTTGGAAGTTCTGCCCAGGTGAAATTTATTCTCTGGCCTCTACTGAGGTATTTTGAGAAAATCTTCAGTGTCATTATTTTTTAGGCCTTTTGCTCTTAGGCTGGTCAGATTGCCCAGATAAAATTCTTCTTAAGTTATTATCTGAAGGATGTCAACTAGGTTACCAGTGTTCTGAGAAGCACCCTCTACAAAGCGCAACTGCCTTCAACTGTGAATTCACTACCCCCACCCCCACCATGCAGTCCAGTCTAAAGACACGCTCTTGTTTCAGTCTTCAGATATACTTCCAGTTGTCTGCTGGGGCTGAGGGGAGGTGTGATTCTCAGTGCTCCCCAGATGGACTTAGAGCTAGCCTACCTGGGTTTTTCATCCCTTTACAGAGATGCTATATATCTCTTAGCATCAGCTGCTGAGCATCTGCAGGGTTCTGTCCCATAAATCGGGGTACTTGGCTTACCCCACAGCCAGCTTAGAGTCCTCCTTTCTCATGTCTCCTAAGTTATTTACCACCCTTCACCCTGCTTTCCAGCTTCCACCATGTTACATTTCACCCATTTATTGTGGCTCTGTGCCCTTTTGAAAAACCCTTTGCTGTCATTTTTGTAGGATTTAGGAGAAAGCAGTGATAAGTGGGTGCTTTGTTCTGTCATATAAGTGTCCACTGTTAGCTTTTCTCATAGTAATTGGGCTGCTGATCCTCAGGTGCTTTACCTGCAAAATGAAAGACATACTAGAAATTTCTAAATTTCTTCCATCCCTGACCTCTTATGTCTCTGTAAGTACTTCTTACTGAGTCAAAGGCAGTTCCTCCTTTTTATTGAAGTACTTTCCTTTTGTCTTACATTCTTAACAGCTACTAGCAGAAGAAAGTCTTCCAACAACCCCATTTTATTTCATCCTGGGAAAACACCGGCAACAGCAGGATGAAAAATCAAATGAAACTTTGGAGAGTGAACTGGTACAGCTACCCTTAACAGAAAACACACCTGCCATTAGTGAGGTAAGTAATGATTAAAGCGCACAATGAGAAACAGATTACATGCACCAAAGCACCGTAAGTTAGACTGTTTATACAATCTGTAATAAATAACTGTTGAATAATGATTTGTATACTGTACAGCTTTAATACCCAAACCAACTAGCGTAAACTTGGGGTTTCAGGTTAAATTTTAGGTGAAGAAGTTGTTTATATAAATGTAGGAAGGTAAGAATAGATTTTTCTTTGGTTTGTTTGGTTTTTCTGTGGGGAAAGCCTGTTATGTTTGGCTTTTGACATTTCATCTTTTTAGATAAAACCCTATTTTTCTGTTTTTACTCTAGCTTCTTCACACCCCAGCCCATGTGCTGCCATCTGCTTCTTTCCTGTGCACCATGTTTGTAAATTCGCTGCTGCTCTCCAAGGAGCCTAAGAGGTAATGTAGCTCTTAAAATATGTTCAGATACCCTGTTTTGGGAAACAGGATGGCTTTTGTTGCCTTTTTTTAAGAATATTCTTCCACTGTATTTCTCTTTATTTTAGATTTAACATGTAGTTAAAGGACATAGGATTATTAAGTCAAGTAAATAAAATACATTGAAAATAAGTATTAGAAAAGAGATCTTCTGTGTGTAGATTTTAAGGATTTGATGTTTAATTCAAAATTACACTTTCTGTAAATTCACGTGCTCTTTTATAATAGCCCCATAATTTAAACTGCACACAATAAGATTTTTCATTAACTTTGTGTGATTATATTTCTACATAGACCTTAAATTAGAAAGTTACGTTTAGAAATATATATTTAAATATTAAGTTTACATTTTATTCTGTTACTGTTAAAGTGCTGAAGAAACCCCTGATGATGTAGATATGGAAGAAGAAAAAGAAAGTGACAGTTCTGATGAAGAAAATGATTTCGCTGAAAAGGTTGAGAATGTAAATGACATAGATTTGGAAGAAGACATTATACGTCAGTTGTCAAAATCTGAAGAAAAGGAACTGAGAAAATTCAGGAAAGTGGATTATAGCTGGATAACCGCTCTTTAAACCTTGGAGATGAGGGAGGGTTCTTGCACTTTTTTTTTTTATTATATGTTGATACTCCAGAAACATCTATTTTAATGTTATTTCTGTTTTTAAAATAAATATTGGGAGGCCTTTTTAAATAACTGATAATGCGAAGTTATATTTGTGTCATGCTTTCTAGTTGCTGGCTTCATTCATGTAGACATCATCTCATTTTGTTACTGTTCTTATTGATATTATTTTAAGCTTGACAACAAAATTCATTTGGGCCAAATATCTGAACTGATAGAAGGTTTTTTTATAGTGCTGATCCATCTTAGTGTATATGTTTCTTTTGAGAAATTTAGAGAAATGGCTTGGTTATATGGTATTGTACTAGGTCCTAAGTCCCACTGAGTACATTGTATAGTAATATGGGTTACCTAAAATCTGAAGAATTCTGAATTCAAATCATCTGGCCTTAAGCCTTTCAGATAAGAGGTTATCCACCATACTTGTAAATACAAATTTCATGGCAATCTTGGAAGATAAGAATTAGTGGTATTATTCTCTCGGTGTTATATCTGTGTCTACAGGCATACCTCATAGAAAATGCGTGTTCAGTTCCATACCACACAGTGAAGTAAATATCACAGTAAAAGATTCCATCTCCTCTATATTATGTAAAAATATTGAAATTGCTACATTTTAACCACTTAGCATTTGGAGTTTTTCAGTTCCCTGATAACACTTCTATAAAAATTTGTAAAAAGTTAACATATGGAGGTGAGGTAGGTAAATTCTGAATTCACCTCCCATGAACACATCAGCATTACAACTGAATTAGAACAACCATCACTGAGAACCACCCGAATAAACAAGCTGCACATAATTCCTTCGTAATTAAGGATGTAAACAAGTTGCATAGAGACAGACAGCAGGGGCAGAGGAGACGTGCTCCAGGCAGGTCCCACACCCACAGTGTGGTGATTAATAAACAGGAGGGATAACTTGGCTGCCACCTACCCCTGGGAAGCACTACAGGTCCCAGCCTGGGGCACCTATGTCCGGAAAAAGATTCCCCATAACATCTAGATGAAAACCAGCACGGACTACGTTCAAGAAAGACAAAGGGAGATTATTTCTTAGATAAACTCACTTGCTCCAGCACAGAGACAATCAGCTCCAGGAGCACCTGGGTCATCCATGAAGGAATTAAATTGACTAATAACTGTAGGGTGAAAACAAGGCATAAGGAAAGGGAGCTTTCAGGACAGAAGCACTGGTGACAATCACTGTCCTTTTGCTGAGCTTTTCTCCCACCTAGCTGGCCTAATGCAGACAAGCATAAAGTCTGTTCTCCATTAACCTGGCTAACCGCTTGTCCTGCCCCTCCGGGCCAGAGCCTCTTGCACCGTCTCCAGATCCTACACACAGGTGGCAGCCAGCCTCAGAGCGTACTGCAGTCTGCACAGCCTCCTCACAGTGAAGACCAGCCTTGGCTCACATTGGAGCTCCTGCCGAGCAGCCCCAAGCCCAGCACACACAACCAGACTCTACTTAGACTATAGTTCTAACCAAGTGTCCCCAAGCCTGGTACGAATGTCATCGAGTCTTGGCTTGCATCATAGTTCCTACCAAGCAGCCCCAAACCTAGCACAAACTGCAACCTGTCACTTCGCATTGCAAATCCTACCAAGCAGACACAGCAAAAGCAGTTCTAAGAAGGAAATGTATAGCAATATAGGCCTCCTTGAATAAACAAGAGAAATGTCAAATTAACCTTACACCTAAGGAGCTAGAAAGAAAGAAACCCAAATTGAATAGGAGGAATGAAATAAAGATCACAGTGAAAGTTTAAGTAAAAACAAAAAATAGAACAATAAAACTAAGCTGGTTCTTTGAAAAGATAAAATTAATAAACCTATTCCCAGAATGAAGTTAATAAAATTGGAAATGAAAGCAAAGTAACAACACCACAGAAATGCAAAAGATTAAAAAAAAAATACTAGTTACACACCAACAATTTGGACAACCTGGAAGAAATGGGTAAATAACTAGAAGCAAGTCTCCAAGATTGAATCAGAAAGGAAAAAAATCAAATTACTAATAACAAAATCAAATCAATAATCAAAAAAACCACAAATAAAAATTCTGAACCAGACAACTTCACAGGTAAATTCTAACAAACATTCGAAGAAGAATTAATACCTATACTTCTCAAACTATTCCAAAAAACCTGAAGAGGAAGGAAATCTCTCAAACTCATTCAATGAGGCTGTAGTTTCCCCAATAACAAAATCAAAGACACTGAAAAAAAAAAAAAAAAAACTAATATCCCTGATGAATATAAACAAAATTTCTCAACAAAATAGTAGCAAAACAAATTAATACATAAGATCATACACCTGATCAAGAGGGATTCATTCTAGGGATGCAAGTTTGGTTCAGTATCCACAAATCAATATAAGCCACATAAATGAAGGATAAAAATTACCATATTTTGCCATGTATAATTCATATTTCTTTGCCCAAAATATTTAGAGAAAGAGGATGCACATTATGCATGAGTATAATAATCCTGCATACAATGTGCACAAAAACGTGGGTGTGCATTATATACAGCAAAATATGGTATATGATTATATCAATAAATGCAGAAAAAGCATTTGGCAAAATTTAACATTCATTTGTGATTTTTTTTAAAAGCTAAGCAAAGGGGGGATAGAGGGAACATACCTCAACATAATGAACGCCACATATGACAGACCCACAATTAATAACATAATGATGAAAAGCTATAAACTCTAAAATCAGGAATAAGGATGCCCAGTCTCACCATTTTTATTCAACATAGCACTGGAAAGGAGAATAGCTGCAGCAATCAAATAAGAATAAAAAATCAATGATGTTTAAATTGGAAAGGAAGAAATAAAATCTTCACTATTTGCAGATGGCATACTATATATCGAAAACCTTAGAGTCCACCAAAAATATCAGAACTAAAAAATAAATTCACTAAAATTGCAGGAGACAAATATTCAGAAATTGGTTGTGTTTTTATAATGAACTATCCGAAAGAAATTAAGAAAATCTCATTTACAAGTGAATCCCACTTACTCAAAAAGAATAAAATACCCAGGAATAAATTTAACCAAGGAGGTATAAGAACTGCACTCTGAAAACTATAAGACATTGATGGGGGGGGGGGGGGGGGGGGTGGAATTGGAAGACACAAAAATTGAGAGAAATTCCATGCTTGTGGATTGGAAGAATTAATAATGTTAGAATGTCTGTTTTACCCAAAGCAATATACAGATTCAATTAAATTCAATCAAAATGTTATACCAATGGCATTTTTCACAGAACTAGAATAAATAATCCTAACATTTATCCTGAAACACAAAAGACCTAGATAGCTGAAGCAATACTGAGAACAAAATTGGAGGTACCATGTGATCTGATTTCAAACTATACAACAAGGCTATAGTAATCAAAACAGTATGGTACTAGCACAAAAACGCACATGTTATCAATGGAACAGAATACAGAGCCCAGGGGAAAAAACCCATGCTTACATGGTCAATTAATCTATGACAAAGAAAGCAAGAATATACACTGGGGTAAAGATAGTTATTTCAATAAATGCTGTTTAGACAATGAAACAGATACATGCTGAAAATGAAAGTAGACCACTTTTGTATACCATGTACAAAAATAAACTCAAAATGGATTAAAGACTTAAATGAAAGACCCAAAACCATAAAACTCCTAGAAGAAAAAGTAGGCAATAAACTCTTGAAGTTGGTCTCAGTAATAGTTCTTTGGATATGTCTCCTAGGTCAAAGACAACAAAAGCAAAAATAAACAAATGGACCTACATCAAACTAAAAACCTTTTGCAGCTCAAAGGAAATCTTCAATAAAACAAAAAGGCAAGCTACTCAATGGGTGAAGATATTTTCGAATGATATATCTAACAAGTGGTTAATATCCAAAATATATAAAGAATTCACACAACATAAAAAAATCCAATTAAAAAATGGGCAGTGGACCTCAATAGACATCTCTCCAAGAGGACACATAGATTAACAGATGGGAAAAGATACTCAACATCACTAATCATCAAGAAAATGCAAATCAAAGCAACGGTGAAATATATCAGCTCATACCTGTCAAAATGGATGTTATCAAAAAACAACAAAGGATAAGTTCTGGCAAGAATCTAAAGAAAAAGGAGTCCTCGTGCATTGTTGGTGTGATCATAAACTAGTGCAGCCACTATGGAAAACAATCTGAAGATTCCTCAAAAAAATTTTAAAAAAACTACCATATGACACAGCACTGCTAGGTATTTATCCAAATAAATTGAAAACACTAATTCAAAAAGATATGCACTTCTACATTCATTGCAGCATTTACAATAGCCAAATTATGGACATAAAAAAGATAAAATCTTGTCATTTATAACAATATTGGATGGGTCTAAAGAGTATTATGCTAAGTGAAATACATCAGAAAAGGACAAATACCATATGATTTCACTTATACGTGGAATCTAAAATAAGTGAACAAACAAAACAAAATAGAAACAAACTCATAGATACAGAGAATAAACTGATGATTGTCATATGGAAGGGACGTGCGGGATGGCTGACAAAGCTGAAGGAAATTAAGAAGTACAAACTGTCAGTTATAAATTTAGTCATGGGGATGTAAAATACAGCGTAGGGAATATAGTCAATCATATTGGAATAACTATGTATGATGCCAGATGGGTACCTAGACTTATCATGGTGACCACTTTGTAAGGTATGTAAATGTCTAATCACTATGTTGTACACCTGAAACTACCAGTAATATATTGCATGACAAATGTAATTTAAAAATTAATTTTTAAAAAATTTTGAGTTAATATAAAAAGAGTAAAGTATACCAACCATAAGAGCACATCTCAATGAATGTTCATAAAATTGCTGCAAATGGCTTTTTAGTGTGTTTTGTGTCAGCAACCAAATAAGGTCTTTACAGCTAAATTGAGATGTAACTCATTAACTATACCAGTCAGTCATTTAAAATGTACAATACCATAGTTTTTTTTTAAAGAATATTCACAGTCTCATACATCATCACCATAATCAAACTTT